GGCGATAACCAGCCCGGAAAGAGCAAAGAAAAAAAAAAAGAAGCAAGCAAAGAGAAACTAAGAAGGTGAGCAAGAAAGAGAGCGGATGGGACCAAAGTTTGGTAAGAACCAAACTATCCCCAGCTAGCACCGGTACTGTTCTCGACTTTATGATTTATAATACTACACGTAAGTTTCTTGCAAGAGTAAAAAATATAACATACATTAGGACTAGCTGGGGAATAGCCAGTCTTACTTTTTGAAAAGAAAAAGAAGTCGAGATCAGATTATTTATATGAATTCTCTAACAACTTTTCATTTTGTTATAAAGTGTTGACCACATTTATCTTTTCTTCTCTCAAACAGACAAAATTTATTGCTTTTTTAATAATAAAGAAAGGATTGATAGTCAACTAAAGTACAATTGTTATTGATCTTGTAATGTGTGCGAATAGTTTCTGAAAATGATGTATTTTATTTTATCCCCTAATAAAAATGCCTTTATCAAACACATGTGTAAATCGACTCTTTGAGGATTTGTCAACATGATCCAGACCAAGTGCGTCCTCTTCCTGAAGCCTGGCTTTACGAAGTTCAAAGTCATTTGCATCAATTGGCTCCACTTGTGGTTCTGATGAGTAAATATTTCTAATAACGGTGAATTTAACCTTTTTCCAGTCCATGTCGCCCAATCCCGTTCGTTTCTGTAATCGCTTCTTTGTCTCTTCAAATGTTTCTCCCTACGTTATTTTATCTTTAGCTGAGTATATATACTGTAAATATTTTGGAATTTTTACCTTGATGGCTACAAATCTAAAGGGAGCACTATGAAGTTCTGTAGGCTTATTATGATAATGAACTACTTGTACAAGACGATCTGTATCTAAATTCATTTCCAATTCATCTTTTGGAATCGGCTACCAGCAAAATATTAATTAAACAAAGAAAAAACAAAAAATAAAAACTTACTTCAGCATAGACAATGGCATTCTTTTCGGTTGCTACGTTATCTACAGGTTGTTCAAGGGAAAATTCCTTTGTCAGCTTGCTATCAACTGCTTCATACAAACGAATTTTTGCAGGGTCCTTGACTTCCATTTTACTTTTGGTAATCACTTGATCCAACAACTGTCGCACGGTGCCTGCTCTCGATACGAGAGCTGTCACTTTTGTTTCCTTTCTCAACGTGGGACCAAGCACGCTGACTTCGATGGACCGTTTGGACTCTAAATCAGCCAAATCGACCTCCAATGTCTCGTAGAACAGAATGGGTGTATTCATCTTTTCAAAACTGACAAACTGTTGATAATCAGCAGGTTTGGGCAAATTAGGCATCATTTCTTCTAACTTTGCTGCGGGTTTGTATGCAATGACCTCGCGAGGCTGATGTGTAATTGGATGAGAGGAGGTAAATCTGATTCGATTTGGGTTAGCTCCTATCTCCTTGGCAAGCTCCTGGGCAACAACAGTATAACTAGAGTGCCTGTTCAAGACAAGCTTTGCTTCTTGTTTATGCTGCGTTGAAGGCAGAGGCTTAAATAACACAAATGATCTGTTGTATAATGATGCATAATAGTCGGGTGCTGTTGTAATATATCCCTTTTTTGACAAGTCGTCCATCCTATAAATAAGTGTGTCAGTCGTGCTGCAGTATGCAGGATATATGCATATATACTTACTCTCTTTGGGATAGTGAACTTTGGAAGCAGATGATATCACCATGCTGAATATCTATCTTGCGGAATGTCTGATCAGTCTTGATAGGTTCAATGGACAAAGGTTTAACTTCTTCAAACAGTTGGATTGATGTGCTCTTCTTTAAGCCGGCTCGTTCATTCAAGTTTGATAATATACTAGCAATCTTGTCATTGAGAGAAACAAACATATGACCAAGTCCTCTATGATTCCACACAAGTATGAGTATGGCAGCTTTTCTCCTTCTTTTTTTACCTTAGTTTTTGTTCTTTTACGTCAAAATACTTGACAAACAAAAGTACTTGATCGTTTCGAAGTGAAGGCAATGGCTTATCATTTTCAGACTTTTCTAAATAGAGCTTAGTTAAACCGTTGTTAAAGGCACTACCACAAGTTAACTCTCTCAGCTTTTCAAGTGCTACATTCATACATTAGTTCAACAGAAATCCATCTTGTGGGATGTTCTTACGTAATTTATCCTCAGCACTGGTTAAACATTGGGTAACTCGGTTGGTCTTATTCTGACGAGTCTGGATGTACCACAACCTTAATTGACTTGCTTCCAACTTGTAATGGTCCATCAACTGCTTCTTAAACTCGCTCACTTTTTCTATTTTTGGTGCCTTGAACACTTCTACATGAGGTGACACTTCTAAATAACGATCATCGAATACAGCCAAATTGAATCCTTGGTAGTCTTTAAGTGAATCGTCCGTGATAACCTTTGAAGAAAGAGAGAGAAAATGTTATATCCCATACCATTTACTTACAGCCACTTTGACATTATGTTGCATATCTTGTCTTTCTTTTTTACGCTTTTCAATCATGGCTTTTTCGTCATCCAATCTACGCTCTACACATTGAATTTAGTTTGCTTCTCTCTTTTTTTAAGGGAATTCTTTACTTAGATGAACAGGTATATCTGATTCAAGGACTGGGTCCAAGATATCATCCAGTTTACTCTTTCTGATATAGACGAGCATGTATGCATTTGTAAACTTCTTCATCATACGTGCACTGTTGATTCTTGAATTGAATGTAGGCGATAACAAATCTTTACTGTCACGAAGTGGCTCATCACCATAATTTTCCTCAAATACTTCCTTCTTGGATGCAGGCGTCACCCGGTCATCATCAAACCGGAACCACTTGTCGTCTTTACCTGGTCGAATCAAAGCAAAATAATGACCCCCAGACAAGTCGCCGCTGTGAACAAGCACCCCATGAAGTTGATAATCATAGGGTCCATCCTTGTCACTGTTGGAACAATATTTATCCAAATTGATTTCTGGAGGGAATTCATGTCGGTCGTTGATCTATTTGTGGACATGAGACAAAAAGAAAACATTGGACTATTGTCTGTGTTTACCTTAACCATGGTATCACGCATAAAGTCATACTCAAATCGTTTCAATTGTAAATGTAAAACAGGAGGAAAGTTTTCAAAGATCACACCCTTTTTTGCATCTTGTAGACCGTGTTCTTCAGCCATATACTTGTTATCACCTTCCAAAATTTCCTCTGCAACATAGTCATCAAAGGAATCTTGCAAGTTCTTGCAGCCCTTTACGTTGAGTTGAATGTCATAATAATCTTCTACGCGTGAAGATTCAAAGTCGACATTGATGCATTTGATGTAACTCTTTGTCTTTCCCTGGAATAGCTTTGAAATGGCGCCATCTGCTGGTGTTCCTTTCATCTTTTCCTCCAAGTTGTCCTGAAGTACGCGATTGAATTCCTGGACGTCGTGCTGCATAAAGGCATCGAGCGTGTCCCAACCAAAGGATTTAGTCAGTTCGGTCGTACCCACGGGCGCAGAAGAGTACTGGAGGTTGTAAAAGCATCTCTGTAAAGCCAAGGCAACACTTTTTGTAGGCTCATCATTATCAGTTGGAATATCGTATACGGCCTTTCTGAATTTGTTGGTACAATAGAGAGACTGTAGTAGCGAGTTCATGTAGCATGTTGCTCCTTGATTTTTAATACCAACAAAGCCTGTTTCCTTTCTGGAGTCATAATTCACAAAGTTATGCCAAAGAACACCTGTTTCATCCTTTACGATACGAATAAACACAGACAAGACGATCTCATTGTCTACAAGAAAGGGGCCTGCTTTGCTTGTCATTTTGTCTAAATCTTCAATTTCATAAAAGCGTGTAAAGCCCCAGTCGATTTCATCCGCTGAAAATCTGTGATTAGCATCTATATAAAACTGTTAATTCTTTCATGTTGACTTTCTATAAAGTAAATTCTTCATTACGGCTGCTATAATAGAGTGTCGGGTCTGTAGGGTTGGACACAGCGAGTGCAAACTGCGCACAGACATGCCATCCTTCGGGTAAAGTGCCGTCTTTTGGATCAGCTACTTCCAAGTAAAATGAAAACGATTTTTTCTGGTTGTTGCCTCTTGGAAATAATAATATGCGCCTAAGAGAGATGTCAATATCAAAATATATGCTTGACCTTCCTTTTTTTATATATACCATGGAAAGCCTTTTACATGAAAGACAGGACCGTGACATTTGTCTTCTAATCCTTTCCAATCCTTAATATTCCAGTGAAATACACCTGTTTCCTCTGTTTCTAGGTCGTTATTTTTGGGCAATAGAGTCTTGAGCATAGTCTCCTCTAGATAGCATAAATACATGTGTTATTTAAAGGAAAGGAAGGGGAAAGCTTTGTCTGTTTACCATCAAGCACACTTGGCTTTTTCTCAGCCGTGAGTTCATTCTCTTTAGTGCTTATTACAATTTTATCATTAGAAGCATTGACAACCATGGCGTAACCTTAAGGGAGAAAAAAAAAAAAGGTGTTATGGAAAAGTAATAGAAAAAAAAAGGTGATCCATACTGAGTACAGAAATCTTTTGGAGCCTTTTTAGGAATTTGTGAGACGAGACTACTTTGACTACTACTTGAACACTACAAGAGAATTATATAAGGACATAGAGGGGCTTTATGTACAAAATTCATTATGTATTTGTGGAGTCAGCCTTTGATGATGATAACATTGTTCTACTTTTCTCTCTTTTTCTGTCGCCTTTCTTTCTCAAATAATCACACATAAAGACGATTGATCAATGAATGTATGCGTAAAGGAAGAAAATGAGTGCTCAGATGCTTTCTATCTTTAGGAAAAGCAGAGACTCTTGTTGTTTTTCTACAAGGTGTTTATGAGTCTACCAATTTGTCTATTTCGTTTTTTCTGAAGATAGATTATATTCGCTAATTGTGTCAGCTTTCCATGTTTGTAAACACTTGAGGTTGATACGTGGCAGATCAGTGCATGAGCTTGGCATATTTAAAATAGTATCTCAAAAGGCGCACCATAAGCTCTGTATAATCCCTAAGGAGATCTCGGTAACTGAAAAGGGTAAAAAAAAAAAAAAAAAGGCAAAATCATGGTTACTAAAGGTGTATTACTATATATTGTACACCACAATTGAAGTTAATACCTCATCTTTTATACAGTCATATCAACCTAGGCCTTGTTTGTAATCTTTTGGCCCATAATGAATTGGGTGATAGTATGTCAAAAGTTTTGTAGCGTTATAACAGCCAAGTCAGTGAAATCTTTGTTATTAGCAAAATACACGTTGACAAACAGCTGCGCCCGAAAAAGGACATTTTTAAAAAGGCTTGAGCAGGTTATAGGCGACATGCACCGTAGGTAATGGTAATAAAAGCTTCTATTGTGATAAAGATCATCTTTAAAAGAAGTACATCCTTTTATATAAAAATGATGATTTATGTCTTATTCATACTGATTATAGTCGTTTATCTTAATATTAGAACTAGACGTTGCTATATGACAATAATATACAGGACAAATTGTTTAAACAGCAAAGAGACGACTTTGGAACTCAAATTTTGATCGGACAGCGTGAAGGCTGCGTATAGCTGGGGTCAATGTTCATCAGTGAACGGACTGAATGATCGACAAGGAAAATTCCAAAATTTCCGTTGACCACTACGAAAGACTTCCCGGCGCACTTTCCATGATGAAAACCATAGCTAACGAGTGCTCCTTTGGTTCGATGAAGACTTTCAAAAAACTGAAAGTCTATTTCTTATACACTGCAGGCGCTAGTATATTAGAATTATTAAGTTCATTCACTTTTTAATTATATGCGATGTAGATAGGACAGTTCGGCTCTGGTTTATCAAATATATCCGAGAATGGCCGCTCTTTGAACTTTGGCTTGAACAAAGTCTCGAGATTTAGCCAGGTTTTGATAACAGACTTGAACAAGTGCTCTACAGCATAGAGTTCTATTGGAGTATTAAGGTAAATGAAAATGATCAGGGATTCTTTCTATAGGTGATAACAAAACCAGTGCTAATATTTTTTTCTGCCTGGTATTTAGTGCTTAGTTGAAGAAACCGTCAAGAGTCTCGATATTTTTAAAGAGGATCATGAAACGATTGCAATGCAATCTTTGCTTACTTTTCCACCAAAAGAGACATTGGCTACAGCTGTACCATGCAGTATATTGCAATTAACAGAAGCCGAGAACAAATTGGAGATGTTTCGTTTGGGGCCGTTCTATACCCTTTAAGTATGTATCTTTTCTTTTCTACATTTTACACATGCGGGTTTAAACTCTAAACTTTCTTGGATAGTATGTTCTTCAAAAAAAAAAAAAACAAAAACAAAAACAAAAACCATCATTAACATATTAGCCATATCTATTTTCATCTAATAATTAATATCAAAATGTCAGTGGCAGCTTAGTCTATTATCCATTAGAGTTTTACTCTTGAAAAATGATGAATGAAATATGGAGATATATATTTAGATTATTTTGTTGTTTGGAATAACTTCTTTACGTAAACTGTGGTCAATGTCGACATTTTTTCTCTTTTTCTACTTCAGCAGCTCTATATATAATGTTCTGTATGGTGCTCTTGTTATCTCTGCACACAAATCATGCGGAAATATCCATCAAGGCGGGTTCACCTCGCATCTTGTAAGTATAAAATGATTATTTGCTTATAAATCGCTTTTATAAAATAGAATATTACCATGGTATTATCTTTTTCAGGATGTCCATGTGCGAGATGGTAAAGCATATCTTTTAGGGGGCTTTGGTAACTTGGTTGAGCTATACCCATACACTTGATTTCTGTATGTGTTGCTACCTCTTTACCTATTTCAGCACATCTAACTTCATATTCAATGAACTGGTAAATGGCCAACCTCTGTTCTATTATGCTGTTGGATCTTCTGTCGACGACCGCGAGTTTGCGGTAGATGTTTTTTTTCTAACCACTTACATCGAATACGTTCTTTCGCCAACTTTGCAGTGATTCATGTACAACAAAGAGTGTCAGCTTCAGAATAGTCCTTTAATACTATTTAGGGAAAAGTTTGGGTGCTGCAAATAAGTCGATGGCTAGCAGAGTATATTCTTCAGTAAGAAGAACTGAATATTATTAAAGTAGGATTTGAATGGGAGTTTTACAGGAAAGGAGTACATGACTGCTATTTATGTATAATGTTGTCAATGTATTTCCTTGGGTCTCTAATTATGCATAAGCAAAGATGATTTTTATCGAAAATGTAGAGAAAAAGCTTGCAAGGTTAATGTAGAAACATTCTAAAATATGCATAATAGTAATGTATGGTTGGTATTTTTGATTTTATTCTTATTTATCATCCAATTCTACGTCCAAACAGATGTTATCAATCAGCCTAGTCTTTCCTACAAATACAGCCATGCTAATCACACATCCATCCTGACGATTGATTTCCCCTGTGACCTCTGACAAATCCTTGGCAGAGTTGATTGACACATAGTCCAGCTTCATGTCCCAATCGTGACCTTCACGCTTGACCTGATCGGAAGCGTCTTGGATGATTTGAATGCCCTGTTGAAGGATTGTCGGAGCATCGAGAATACCAGATTGGTACATAGATTCCATATGCTTTAATGACTTATATAGCGTCAAAGCGTACTCTTTCTGCTTGGGTGTCAAATAAGCGTTTCTAGATGAAAGAGCAAGTCCACCCTCATCACGAACGGTTGGACAGATGTGCATTTTCGTCGGGAAGTGAAGATCTCTGATCATGTTACGAATCACAAAGCATTGTTGAACTATTCATGAAATAGGTGAGGAATACGAATCATTGCATAACAGCACTTTACTATCTTTTTGTCCAAAGAACACATGATCGGGTTGAACCTAATGAAAGTAAGTAAAGCAGAGATATAAATCAGCTATTTATCTTACAATGTTTAAAAATTTGGATACAACAGTTGCCACGCCTCTAAAGAAATGAGGACGCGTAACGCCTTCGAGCTGCTTGGAAAGTCCCAAGACTTCGACAAAGGTACCCTTCTGCTTTGTAACATCCAACTCAATACCTGTAGGATACATCTCGTCTACCTGAGGTACCAGCACAGCTGAAGCCATGCCTTCACCAAGATCAGCAAGTTTATCCAAATCGCTCTGTAACGTGCGTGGATAAGTTGCCAAGTCTTCAGTAGGTGCAAACTGGGCAGGGTTGACAAAGATAGTCAAGGCTACATGATCACAGTGTCGCTTGGCGTCTGTGACAAGCGCAAGGTGGCCCTGGTGAAGAGCTCCCATCGTAGGCACATAGCCTAATGTTTTCTCCTCTAATAAAAGTGAGCGTCGCCATTGTCTAAAGTCGGCAATTTTATTAAAGACTCGAATTCCAGAAGGCATTCTAACTAGATAAAAAAAGAAATTATTTACGTGTTATGTGTGCATATGTAATGAATATGATGTGCGTTGATCAATATACAAAAGTCCCTTACTGGTATTCATTATGCTGTTCTTGGTTATTCCTGTTTTTTAAAAAAAGGAAGGGGTAACCTTATCCCCTTTTGGACAAGACGTGACGGTGAAAATGTGAGCTGTAAAGCCCACTTTCCAGGCACCCAATTTCTTGACAGTTTATCTCTCTATTTTTGACATGTTGAGAACTGGAATTGGCCGATCAGCAAGAGGATTCAACGCTTTTGTTCTTCAAAAGAGATACACATCTAGTCAACAAGGCCCAGTAACGATCTATACTGGGCCCATGGCTAATGTTGCCAAAAAGTTAAAATTGTTCTCTATTACATCCCTTGGCCTTGGCGTTGGTATATCTCCTTTTGTATTTGTTATTGATGTCCCTGTACCATTTGTTGCTAAGGCTGCACTTGTAGGCGCAGGTAAAAAGAAAGGAAAAAGAATTGATAAAAAAAGGTCGAACTGACATTTTTTTCCCTTAAAGCTGTTGCTACTAGCGCTGCTTCTACAGGACTTATCCAATGGGTCATGTCACCCTATGTGACAAAGATCACTGTGCCCAAGCAACCTGAAGAAGGACAGGTACCCAAAGAATTGACCATCCATACTCTTTCCTTTACCGCTAGAGATCATACAACGACCGTTCCTGTAGATACTATTGCACCTGCCAGTCGCATCTTTACAACTTGGATGATCACAGACCCTAGTCAGGCTGTTGGGCGTATTGGAGAAAAGACAGCAAAGCCAAAATCACTTTTATATATCCATCCAGAATTATGCCAAGAAGAAGGTGTCATGAAAGATATTATTGAAAAGACAGGAATTGGACAAGGGTTTTGATGACATACAACAAATGCAATGTAAATAATAAAACAGTATTATTTTATTAATTTAACCAAGGATGATCCAATACTGTTTGAATGTCAATGCGTTTATCTACATCCCTTTCGAGCATTTTATAAATAAGATCCACTGAACCTATAACAGAGAGAGAGAGAAAGATATGTCAAAGAATGAATTAAGACATATACTTTTGTATACCTTTGGATAACACAAATGGAATTCTTAACTCTTGACTCATGATTTCATCAATATCATAGAATGGATTCTCACGATAGATCAAGGTGAATAGCAGAATGCCCAAAGCCCAGACGTCCTGTGGCTTACCAGAGTAAGTCTGGCCTCGAAGGATTTCTGGAGCAGCATAATCCAAGGTTCCCACAAATGTTTCGTACTTTCTACCTTGTTTTATATAGGCAGCGCTTCCAAAATCCACGATTTGTACATTCAAGTCTTTATCCACCACTACATTTTCATCCTTAATGTCACGATGAACGATGCGATGATCATGAAGGTGTTTTACACCCAAGGCTATTTGCTTAAATATTTTACGTATGTTGTCTTCATTAATCTGCTCATTGTATTCTATATAATCAAACAGATCCATAGTTTCACGGAATTCCATGACGATGTAATAATAGTCATCATCTTCAAAGTAATCGACTGAAGTGTTGTTAGCAACCGTACAAGGTGAATACTTGAATCACTTACGCATATCACTGATGTTTTTATGGGGTATCTTTCTTAATGTATGCAAAATGTGTATCTCAACGGGTATTGTACCGAGCATCTGATCACTTGTCCAACAATCAATGAGGATCCGTGATTTGATGACATATTTGATAACGACTCGTTTCTATAGAAACAGAATTAACATTCCAGAATAAAACATAACAAAAAAGGGCTTGCCTTTTCAGGATCATCCTTTTTCACAGCTACTTTCACTAAGCCATATGCACCCTGGCCTAACTCATCAATAACAATATAATCATCGATACAGGTTGCATTCGGCTGTTGAGCAGAGTAGAGTATGGCGTCTTCCGGAATTTCCTTTTTCTTTGACCGCACCATCGGAGGTGGCTGTCTTTCATCGACAGGAGGAGGTAAAGAGATCAAGTGTTGATGACCGTATCTCTTGAATGTAAGTTCACGATCAAATGAAATCCAAAGAGCACATTCTTCCTTTTCTTCGACCAGTTTCAATTGAAGCTGAACCTCGAGAGGTGTGCCATCACGATGGATACCAATAAGCAGGGGTAAAGGTTGATTGTTTGGGGTATGAGTCAGCATGCGTAATCGGCTATCAGGACCATTGTAATGATCAACAAGTTTTCTGCATATTGTGTTGTTGATAATGAGTCCATGCTGAAGTAGGTCATCTCGGTTAAGATTTTTGAACAAGGTCGGAAATTGAGGTAGCAAATCAGAAATGTTCTTTTTTAAGAGCTCGTCCTGTGCATAACCGAAGAGACATCTAGCAAAGACCTGGTTGCATCCCTCGATTGTACCATCAAAGCGAATGGTCATGAGGCCAGCAATGAGAGGCATAGAGGTAATATGTATAGTAGTATGATCTAATAGACGAACAATAATGGGAAAATGAGCCCCTTTCTTAGTTTCACTACCAAAGAATCGAGATTGAATCGTGCTTTTCCAGTCGGATGAAGTCAATGAAGGGATCAGCTTGGATAATGGCTCATTCAAGATCTCATCTGTATCATAGCCATAAAGATCTTTTAACCCATTCTTGTCCAAAATATGATGTATGTTACCCTTGAATAGTCTTGATTACAAAAAGACAAAGGTCTTGTCTAGAGGTAACTTACCTCGTCATTGACTCGAATGGTCAGAGTACTTTCATAAACCTCTTCAAATATCCAGATGAAAACAGATTGGCCCAGTTCATTCTTTTTTTCCTTTAACCATAAAGAAGCAGACGACTTGGTTCCGTCCAATTTGATGATGGGAATCTAGTAAAAAGAGTTAATATTTGTATACACAATCATTGTGACCTTACAATTTCTCCGCAGACAATCACTGTGCCTTCATCTGCATGAATACTGCTACTATGGAGTGCCTCTTTTCTCCGTTTCACAATAATTGATTTTAACCGGTTTTGGTAAGAAGGATCAATTAGGTTCTCGATGACTTGTTTTCCGATAAGCTGTTCTTGTTGATCGTGATCGTGACTGACAAGAACATCCTTTGCTATACCATTGGTGATAATTATGCGAAAATCATCATATGTTGTTAATATAGCCTGATTTTGTTGCTGTCTCGTTCTGTTGTGTAAATGTGGGACGTAAATTTGTTCCTCCTCTGCTTCTTCTTCTTCTTCTTGGAAGCTGTAAAATGAAGAGCAAGAAGAAGAAGCGGGAGAGGAGTAGACAGATGGCAATGTCCTGCTCCTTGGCTTTATGCCAGAATGGTTTGGTGCATCCGCTGTTTTTGTTTTCAAGTGAGTTCTTAAAATAGTACAAGTTTCATGTAGTTTTCTTGAAAGCGGTATGTTTGTTGAAAATTGAAAACTGTGTAATGATTCTCGAGAAAATTTAATCATTTCATTTTCTTGGTTATCTTTTTCTTGTTCATCCTCTGCCTTTTCTTGTCTTAATCGAATTAGTCCCTCTGCCAAAGCTTCTTCTTGTCTATAGGATGTGAGTACATATATAAAAAAAATATTTATATTGATTAAAGTGACTTACAATGGATTTTCTTGAATAATGGTTGTATGAGTCATGCGCCCACGTAAGTAAATAAAGAAATAAAAATAGAGAAAAGAAAGAGAAAAGAGAAGAGAGAGAGAGAAAGAGGGGCTAGACAGTGACTTGAAATAGGGTTGAGGACTTTCTAAAAAGTAACTTGAGACAAATTAGGAAATCGTTTTGGGACCTTTTAGGAATTTTTACGAGACGATTACTTATATAGGCCAGACTTTTTGAAATTACCTAGGGACACGATAGGCATTGCTATCAGTCTTTAATTACAGACGCTTGATAACGATAACAATAATAACAGTAATGATATTATTACATAAACTAAGCCAAATAATGTAGTCATCCTCTTGTAAGAAGTACTATACAAAATGTACTTGCAACAGACATTGAATGCCATCACTTGTTATCCTAAGCATCATGTTTCTCTAATAAACTACCAAGGGAGTGAGCATGCTTGATGTATCTTTGCTATATGTTGCAGTTCCTTCAATCCATTTATTAGGTTATGTTAATGCAAACTATGGCTAATAAAATGTGAGTGCGTTAGTATTGTTCATTTCTTAAAAGAGTAAGACATCAAACATAGTAGCTTATTGAATTCAAAAATAAAAATAAAAATTACATCATACACATTATTCGCCTGAATCAATGATAAACTTGCCTTACGCTAGTGTAATTATGAAATAAAAGCGTTTTAATGCACGTTCCCATTTCTTACTTTGCACCTTCCAAGTTTAGCATGCTGATCGCATCAATAAGTGGTTACTGTCTTCAAAGATGCTATATTTGAACAAATTCGATAGTCCGATGAACCTTATAGCTGATCCAAGTTGTACTAGTGTTGGCAGCCGCTTGCTGCTAAATTCTAAAAATTTCCTTGTTTTCAATTTCGAGGTTGTCACTCTTTTGATGCAATCGGCCTCTTCTCGGTGAAAGAGTCAGTCAAGTTCTTAATATTGAACAATGCACTGTTATCGTAATCGAACAAATAGACATGTCGTCTGACGTTCAACAGGGATCTTGATTGTCAGATACACATGCTGTCAGATATTAGTATAGCTGTGAGTTGGCGCTTTTGTGTATAGATTGTATATAAAGCTTTCTGAAATACGGCATTGCTTTTCAGAAGAGATGTGAATGACGAGTTTTATGATAAGGAGGTCTTTTTGATGTGATATATAGTATTGGATTCTTTTAAAAGAAGGCTGTTGCTTTATTTTGGGTTATTGAGTTTATGAAAATAGGTGTTACACTCGATCTTTGACCTTGGTGAAGCATAACAGATAGACTATGATCTAATTTTACACTAGAATATTCAAGCTTAGTACCTTGTCAAGTAACCAAGGCGAATGCTACAGCCATTACCTCGGGAGAGCTATTCTTAGTCATGGCATGACATGACGCAACTTGGGATACTACCCAAGATCCTGACCATTGTTATTCGAACTGCTCTACTTGCGCCAGTGTCTGAAAAACTGGTACACCCAGTGTACCTAATGCAAATAGCACAAATCCAAAATTGGTCCAAGTGAGACTAAATACTTTGTGGCTCCGAAGAATTTTAGACAACATGCTTTTGTTAATGCAATCTTTTCAGAAAGCAAAGTCGTATTTTTGCAATTTTTATAATACAATTTATACGAAAAAGCGACAAGTCAGCGCGACACCTCTTTCCGAAAATAGTGTACCACATAAACTTAAATGACATATAGAAGACGTTACTATTTGGCCAAGATAAGTTTGAGTTTGAGTCAGTATTTTTGTTGCATTTAAAGTAAAATCGTCTTCTGGAAGTATCAAGCTTGTTTCAAATCACTGTATCCATGCATCCAAATGAATACTATTTTTCATTTTCATAACAAATTTAAGTAAATTATACAAGTTTTATGTAAACACAAAAGTTGAACAAGATTTAACTAACAATATGAGCTTTCTCAAATTCAGCCATGTATGCAATTAATGCGTCCACTTCTTCTTCTGGTAATGCGTTATAAATAGAAGCTCGAATTCCCCCTTTTGAATACAAGTTAGATAAAATAACATCATGTGTATGTAAATACTTTACCAACTGAACGATGTCCTTTCAATTGTTGCATATTTCTCTCTTCTGCTCCTTTCAAGAATTCCTTTTCTAGTTCTTCATTTGGTAACTTAAATACAACATTCATACGACTGCGACAGGCTGGTTCAACAGGGCTTGTGTAGAGGTATGAGTCATCAATCACCTTGTATAACTTATCTGATTTGCGCTTATTCTGTTCAGTTATCACTTCTAATCCTCCTTGTTCCTTGAGCCACTCTAAGGTGAGTCCAACCATATAGATGGCAAAGGTAGGAGGCGTGTTGTACATTGAATCATTATCTGCCATTGTCTTAAAATCAAGCATCAATGGACGAATTGGTCCAACCGTCAAATCGACCAAGAGGTCATCACGGACAATAACAATTGTCACACCAGAAGGGCCTAGATTCTTTTGTGCTCCACCATATATCACGCCAAATTTGGAGACATCGATAGGTCGAGATAAGAAATTACTGGAGATATCGGCCACCAAAGGTACGGAGGGATCCACTTCAGGTACAGATGGATATTCGACGCCATGAACAGTTTCATTATCGCAATAGTATGCATAAGCGACGTTATTCTTTTTTGGGTCGCTCAATTGCCATTCAGAGGCGTCAGGAATTGAGCCATATTTGCCCTTACTTGCCTTCACGTCAAACACACGATGGACACGTACAGGATTTCCTGTCACTGTAGGCTTCAAACGCTCAGCTTCCTGTGCTGCCTTGCTTGACCATGCACCCGACACAAGGTAGTCGATCACGATTTCCTCACCTTCTTTGCCTGCTTTTCGAAGCGCTTCCTGCTTGGCCGCGATCAAGTTGTAAAAAATACAGGCAAACTCGGTTGTGGCTCCACCTTGCATAAACAGAATCTTGTAGTTGTCAGGAATATTCATAATTTCTTTCAAGTCGGCTTTGGTTTTGGCTAAAATGGCGCCAAACGGTTTGGAACGATGAGAAAGCTCCATGACGGACATGCCAGTACCGTTGACATTTAAAAACTCTCTTTGCGCCTTTTCCAGGACTTCACGAGGACTATTTGACGTGTGAGATTCAATTTTGTAAAAGTTCAAACTTACATCTTTGCTGGGCCAGCGCCAAAATTAAGTACGCGTGGAGACATGATTGTATACGGAAGAAAAGTAAAAGAGTAAAAATAAACATGGCTTTTATATAATTATCAAATCCATCTCTTTATGACTCAAGCAGATCTGACATCCAATTACGGCAGTTGCATTCGTTTCGATCTCCGTCTATAGACACCCCACTTTTATTGTATTTTTTCTAGTTGAAGCAATAGACTGCATTTTATTTTATTTTTTTCTCTACGTCATGTCTAATTCAACACTTTTCAGTCAGTCCGTTTTACGCCGTGCAACTTGTTTCAGAAGCACTTGCTTAAGACCCACCAAAGCATGTTTTAGTAGCAGAGCCAACAATTGGTTCACTCGCTTCCTTACACCCAAAGAAGAAAAAGATCTCTATCTAGGCATCACAAGTTCATTTCGTGAAAAACTCAACGAACAAGGCACCAAGAGCACACAAACCTACAGCCACATCATTGAGCATGCTATCTTTTCTCGACCTGCGACTGCCTCACCGTCACGACTAGAAGAATTCAAACAAGCAATTGATTCAGCAGGCAAGAATATAGAACGGTTACAGCAAATTGAAAATGAAATGTATACAGAACAGGTCAAGACAACGTCCATGTACAATCGACTGATACGAGCTTATATCGCCAGCGATGCTTTACCACTTGCTGAAAAAGTCATTCATAAATTTGATTCCCGTGGCATCTTTGCCACTACACGCACATTTACTTATATGATTCAGGCCTATATGAAACAAGGCAACCTGAACAAGGCCAAAGATTTCGTCGAACAAATGAAAAGCTTGAGTCTGCTCAAATTACGGTATGGGTTTGACTGTAGCGTGTTACTCAACTTTTATATCGCCTCTGGGGACTCGCATGCACTGGAATTTTTATGGCGTGACATCATACTCCACGCAGATACTATCAAGCCAGGCGTGGGGCTCTACACACAGTACCTAGAGTATTTGATTTCGGATAAATGTCACCATGCGTCACTTCAAGAGTTTGTGAAAGAGTACTTGAGTAGGAACGACCAGGCGTCATTGAATGCTCAACAATATACCGTCTGGATAGGAGCTGTACAGAAAATGTTGTCCTCTTTGCACGATTTGACAGTGGCAGAACACCTATTGCTGCATCTGATCAAACATGCACCAGCAAAGGCAAATATGGATTCCACAAGAGATATCATGCAAAAGATGCTTGTACACTACATTGATGGCGGTCAAGACCTAAAAGCATTAGCACTCTACTACCGTGCGCAAAAGATAGGCGCACCAGATGAGATTTTTGAGCCACGTACGTTGCAACGTATAGAACAAGCACTCAACAAAGTTGAGCATAATGCAAGTCATCAAGATCATCATGTGCTGCTGGCTGAACTCGCACAGCAAAATCACTTTTAAAGCTTGGATGATTTATTAAAATGTTCAACTAATAAACGATTATATCTTTCGGGCTGTTCTTCCGGAATACCATGACCACTGCCTTCAAACAGTTCAAAGCGAACAGGATCGAGTATCTTTTTCATGTGGTATGAGTAAGCGGGTCGGACGAGGTTATCAAATGTGCCTGTGATGATCATCACGGGCAAGCCTCCATGTTTGATATTGACCAATCGGCTGTCCGAGACCGAATGACGAAAACAGGCGGCAAGTTGGGCTAAGTAGCCATGTAACGGTTGACGACGTGTCTCTCGCATGCGCCGAATGAGCAAAGATGATGCCAACTCTCGGTTTGTGGCGTACTTAGTTGAGTTTGCTGGCTTTTGCTCTAACCATTCGGGTGGATAGACAAGGTCAATGGCCGCATTTAGCTGGTCCTTTGGATCACGATAAATAAATGCGATTCTTGATAAGGCAGAGACGGCAGCCCACTAAAGACTAATGAGTCTCGAATGTTTCTAATGTATTTAAACTTACTGTGGGTATATTTCTTCTTGCTGTTGTGCTTGTTAACGTAAGCGATATAAACCGAAAGGGGTCCGCATCGACCATCTCAAGAGATATCATACCGCCCATGGAGATGCCCACGAGGTGAACACGGTCATGCCAGCCAACATGGTCAAGCAATTCCAATGCGTCCTGTGCCATTTGAGATGTACTAGAATACAGGGTTAGGGCGCTCTTATTTCCTTTTTCAGGCAATTTCTTCTTACGAGTAAAGTCCAATGGGGGCATCTGGGAAAATAATATGAATATTTTCACGCTTATCATTTTTTTATATTTATTTGACTTACCAGAATGTCCTACACCTCGATTGTCAAAAACGAGCACACTGTATTGTCCTGTTCCTGCTAGGTACTTTGTCTAGTAAAGATGTTGCATAAATATCAATTGTATCTCCGTATTGGGTAATGTACCTGATAATCCCAAGCACCACAGGCTAAGGCAAGTCCTGTAAATGAAATATATGAGAAAAAGTAGGAGTAAAGGTTATCAATCTTTTACCCATCACCAACATAACAAGCTGAGACCCATTGCCATGTATCTCATAATATATCTTGACAGGCTTCGATTCTCGACTTTGTCCTACTTCCGCATGTCCTTTCTGAGTCAGTGTGTCTGGGTTCTTAAATGTCATCTTTTATGCTCAGAACATGAAAAAAAAGGCCAAAAAAAGCTTGAGCGCATAGACTGGAGTTTTTATGGTGCTGTGACTGCTTTTGATGTCTGTAAACACCTGTTGGCCGTGAGGGCCATCATGAATTATCCCACGCTCCAAAGCACATAAAAATGCGTCCTTTTCTTCCTTTTTTTTAATTCTTTTTCTTTATCAAACCATGTCAATTGTATCTGAACACTCCTTATCAACCGAGCCCAAATGTCTCTGGAAACCCTCTTGTCCTGAGCAGACTGAGATGGAAAAGTTTCGCTCTCTTATGCAAAAAAAATACACGAGTGCTAAACTAGGTAAACCAAACCAAACATTCATACTGGATCATCCTTCTCACGTTTTATCATTTACCAGGCAGTTATCAAGAGCTCTGGAGCTGGTCTGTTCAGAACCCAGAAGACTTTTGGAGCGAAGTGTGGGATTATACCAAGATTGTCCATACTACCAAGGGTGATCAAGTCTTGGATAACTCGGTTCCTATGGATAGCATTCCAGAATGGTTTAAAGGTGCTCGATTAAACTTTGCAGAGAACTTGTTGTGGTGTAAGAGTAAAGATAAGACGGCTATTATTGCTACAGGTAAAATAATATATATTTTTTTCCCCGGTTGTTGTTCTGTGCCTAATGCGCTGACATAGGCGAAGGTCACGAGAAGCGATTTATTAGCTATGCAGAGCTAAATGATAGTGTACTTCAATTTGCTTCTGCTTTGAAGAACCTAGGTATCAAGAAGGGCGACCGTGTGGCTGCTTATATTCCAAACTGCCCTGAAGCTATTATTGCCATGTTGGCTGCCACAAGCATGGGTGCTATTTGGAGGTAAGTACCAAGCATACACAGAAAGAAAAAGCGAGACTTATCACACTGATATATAGCTCTACTTCCCCTGATTTCGGTACCACAGTAAGTGTCTGCTATTTTCTCGTGAGAAAATCAAATTAAAGTTCAGCAATAGGGTGTCCTAGATAGATTTTCACAAATCCAACCCAAGGTGTTGATCTCTGTGAACAAGGTTATTTATAATGGAAAGACGTTAGACCATTTACCTAAACTCAAGACAGTTGTTGAAGGTAAGCTTGCTCTCGAGACAAAATACATCAACTGACACACTTTAAAGGTCTTCCTGGTCTTCAAAAGGTCGTCGTTATTCCCTTTGTCGGCCAAGTAACTCAAGAAGAACTGAAAGATATTCCACAGAGTATTTCATGGGACGATTTTAATAAATCTGTTCCCCAAGATGCCTTGCCTACATGTATTCAATTCGAACAGCTGCCCTTTAATCATCCTGCCTTTATTCTCTTCAGTTCGGGCACAACAGGATTGCCCAAGTGTATCGTTCATTCTGGAGCTGGGTTGTTACTCCAAATCAAGAAAGAACACGTCATTCACGGAAACATGGGGCCTGATGATATCTTCTTTTATTACACGACCACTGGCTGGATGATGTGGAACTGGTTGGTCGCAGGTCTCAGCGTAGGATCCACCATTGTCCTTTGGGATGGAAGTCCTTTCAAGCCTGCACCCATCTCTTTGTGGGAATTGGTGGATGAATTAAAGTAAGTTATGAAAAGAATGATTGCAGATGAAACACTTAATTCTAATCATTATTTACTCATAGAATCACTTACTTTGGCACGTCTGCCAAATACATTCAATCCTTGCAAGAAGCAAACGTGCATCCAAGTAAGTTTACTTTTAGAGATACAAAGATATCGTCTAACCTTATTTTTAAACCAGAGGAGCAATGTAAACTCGATAGCCTGAAAGCCATCTACTCTACTGGTTCTCCACTCAAGCCCGAAAGCTTTGATTTTGTATATGAGCATATCAAGAGCGACATCATGCTCGGCAGTATCACAGGTGGCACCGATATCTGTTCACTCTTTGCAGGACAAAACGCAGCATTGCCCGTCTACAGAGGCGAGATCCAATGTATCTGTCTTGGCATGAACATACAAGCATGGGCTGATCAAGATAAGCCTGTGTTTGCTCAAGCTGGTGATCTTGTCTGTGTGACACCGTTCCCATGTATGCCTGTCGAAATGTACGGTGATGGTCCTGAAAGAGCTAAATACAAGAGTGCCTACTTTAGCGTTTATCCTCATGTGTGGTACCATGGCGACTTTGTCTGGATCAATCCCAAGACAGGCGGTGTAGTCATGCTTGGTCGATCGGATGGCACCTTGAACCCTAGCGGTGTTCGATTTGGTAGTGCAGAGATCTACAATGTCGTCGATCGATTCAGAGAAGACGGTGTTGAGGATTCACTTTGTGTGGGCCAAAAGATTAAAAATGAAGATGATGAACGTGTGGTACTGTTCCTCAAGATGAAGGCAGGACACAAGTTTAATGAAGATTTGGTCAAGAAGATCAAAGTAACTATTCGTAGTGAACTAAGTCCAAGACATGTACCTGCCTTTGTTCTTCCTATTACTGATATTCCTGTAAGTGTCATTGTACTTTTTTTTTTATTCTGAAGCTAACCGACAATATATATAGTATACGATTAACGGAAAGAAGGTTGAAGTGGCTGTTAAAAAGATACTTTCTGGACAAAAGGTCATGGCTACTGGTACATTAAGCAATCCTGAAAGCCTTGAATATTATTACAATATTCCTGAATTAGTACAGTAGTCTCGTCATTTATATAAATAGCTGTCCTTATGTGTGTGTATAAAACAATAAAAAAGCATATAGAATAATTCTAAAGAATGTATCATGGGTCTGTATTTTAATATCAGCGTACACGACGTGTGTTTATTTACAAATAAAATTAAGCAAGTAGTAGTCCTCCCTTGTATTTAGCGTAACCCAAGACCAAAAAAGCACCAACAATAACACCTTGATAGAAACCAATGGCTGAGGGAGAAGTCAAGTAGCTTTGAGCTTCTTGAACCTTGGGTTGCGTTCGTCTCTTGAGATCTTCATATTCAACACGAAGTCTTTCTAATTCTTCTTTAGCGTTGTGTGCAGTCTTGTCAACGGCTTCCTTTGCTCTTTGTTCATTTTCTCTAGCAGACATGATGATGTAATATAAGACAAAGAGAAAAGAAAAAGAAAAAAAGCGCTTCTTTTATAGACTTTTTAGAAAGGATAAATACATAATTGTACGCTCGTGAATCTGCATAATCATGATGTCAAGGGATATGATATCATTGCTCATTGTGTTACCATAGAGACCATGGCGCTAGTTTTTTCTGTCATCAAGTGCTTCTAATTCTTTTTGGAAAAAAGAAATTATTTTTCTTCTATAAAAGACGGTTTCTACATTCGTGAAGACTACAGTTTTGAGTTCAAATTCCTTTTTTGGGCATTGTAACTGTTGCAGTCGTTCCAACGCCAAAGGGCGGCTTTTTGTCAAAGGGCGGTTAATATTTTCTCAAAGGGCGGTTTTTATTCTCTCAAAGGACTGGTTTCTTTTCTCTAAAGTTCTATATCTTTAACAATCTTTATTTACTGAATGTTGGTTTAAATATACTCCTCATTTAAACACTTTTCAAAAACGTTCACAGAATGCTGTATAAATACATGAAGATGATTGGGAGGTAGCTAGGTCCTCCTTGTCTTCAAACTTACTACGCTTGACTTTGTTCTTAACTACTGCCCAAAACTGTTCAATTGGGTTGAACTCTGGAGAATAGGGTGAAAGATAAATTGGCTTATAGCCTCTTCTAGTTATAAGTTCATCTATTTCTTTAGTAGTGTGAATAGACGCATTACCCACAGCTATATAATGGCCCTTCTTCTCAGGGAGACAGTCTATCTCATCCATAGTTTTCTCAAGAAATACAAGGCAATGGCCAGTAACAATACCTCTAAGCACAGACTTTTTGTTACTAGATGGCGTTTTTCTTTTACGATTATAAAAATCAATCTTGATGCGTTTGGGCCATTCATCTTGAGGGTTTCGAAGCTCCATGGATACAATAGATTTAGAAGAAACAGTGCCTAAAATCGCATGAGATACTGCTCTCGTAAGGGAGTGGTTACAATAGCTGGTTTTTCTTTTTCAGCCCAACCACCTGAAGGTCTCATGCTGATATCGAAAGCAGATTCATCTACAAAAACGCAGTTTTCAAAATAACTCACTGTGCGTGTTATCTTATCCCAGTTGAAAGTTAAAGGCGAATTTTTTTTAAAAAAAAAATCTTAATACGGTATGATGCAATTAAACAATAGTCAAGAGACTTATTTCGAAATTTGTATAGGTGATAATCGAAAGTATTGATTTGGGTCATAAGCGAAGAACGTGTTGATTTTAGTGCTCTTTTCTTAAGGCTATTTTTAAATATCTGCGTGCCCTCTTCAGTTATTTTATTTCTCTACTAATTTCATTTATCGCACGTTTGATATTGAGCCTCCATTCACTACTATGGGTAGTAGCAGCATTGGTGATATCAGTATTGGGCTTGTGATGAAGGTATAAGTGTAGCGGTGCTGTTAGCAGTTTGAGCATTAATACTTGAGGAAGTAGATTGGTTGTTAAAGTTTATTTTTTGGAAAGAGTAAGTCACTAAAGTGCCATCACGTAGTTGTGTTGGATGAATTGTAAAATGTATATTGCTAGTGGTAAGGCCCTTTTTGACATAAGTATTGTAAAGCACAGATGCGCTGTAAATCTTGTAGGCCATGGGTTTGAGTGTGTTGTAAAAGGTAATAAAAATAGAAGTTTGTGTGTTCGTAGTCTTTTGTAAGACTTGAGGTTCGTAGCAAAAGTGTTTAAAAGGTAAAGTTATAATAAAGGTTCGATGTGTCACCACCAGATCGTGTAAAGTTGATCAGACTGAGTTGTACAAAGTAAAAAGAATAATAAAAAAATATAAAAAGGTTCCTGAATCCACTTGATTGGATTATTCAGAAGTTAATAAAAGATAAAAATAAAAAAGGAAAAGGTTGTGATTCAAATCGTAAGTGATTTATTGAATGAATTGAGCTTTTTGCAAAAGCATTGCTCTTTTATACTTGTTAAAAAGTAATTAAAGTTTTGATAATTATAGTTTTAATATTTAAAGTTTTTTTTTTTTTTTTTTTGAAAACTGTGCTACTGCACCTTCAATGGTTGAGGAATGAAGACATGAAGCGCTAAGAAGAAAAGAAAAGTAAAATTAGTAATTAAATAAGAATTTGGTCAGGATACGTGGCTCGTATAATTCGTTCTTCGAAGTTCCACGTCCCTTCGAGTATAGCCGAATTTAGCAGATATTGCCTGTGCTATCAATGCTGCTAACGATCATTGATAACGTCGGTATTGTAACCAAACTGGCGCCGGAATCAGCTGTCAGAAGAAGAATAAAAAGATTACATTCCCCATAGCAAGATGACGAATTTGTTCGGTCCATAAAGCAAAATGTCAGTGCAACCACGCCTGACGATACAACAAACGGAAGGTTCAAAGCTTTTTTTTAAAAAAAAAAGATAATAAAGTTTATGCATGAACTCTATTCCCGTGTAATTTTTTCCGCACTCTTATGTCATTGTAACAATTGTGTGTCTTTTTTTTTTCACATTAATATTGGTGTGCGACTCTGTTATTGTATACTTGGCCTCTTTTAAGTCAGTAAAGAAAGCTCTTTTTTATTTATCTTCATGTATTAAATATTGTACAAGCACGCAAACTGGGAATTTCAATAGCGTAATTCGGCTTGCTTTAAGATGTGAATTAATCAATTGAATTCATGAAAATTGGCGTTTTTAAGTGCACAAGGTAATTTGAACTCGCGTAAATTGGTATACATGACATGTATCATGAAGATCTTCCTTTTTTTGTGTACGCCAATGTAATGTTTCTTGATCATTCGTTCTCAAGGCCATGTAGAATGGGTTTAAGGATTCAAATCCTTTTGTAGCATTTGCTACCCTTTGATCGACAAGACCGGCAGACGAAGATCATCCGTTGTACATAATGGTGCTGATTGGCTAGTCACTGTGAAAAAGCTGAGAATAGTATCGTAATATTATTTGACTGACAATAAAGTAAGCATAATAGAGGTGAATTGATGATCCTCTGATTATCTCCTCATTAAAAAGAAGACAAAGAAGAAGAATGAATCCATTAAGACAAGTAGTTTCATTATGTACGGTGATATTCAGAAACCGAAGCGGATCATGCTAAAGAAGAGTTCATCTCAGTAAAATGCTATTTATATATAAAGGTTTTCTAACAGGCAAAGCATTTATATCCATCTCTAGTAATCATATGATGCTTTATCTTGTATATAAGAAGTTTTAACGAGTGCCTTGATATAGTAAATCTTAAACAAGTACTCTACTTTCAATTTCCGATGAAGAAGTGGCATTTTATTTGAGCCACAGGCTGTCATAGTTACACTGGGTGACAGATTTGTGGCCCAGCCAAAAGTTCACCAAAATACATTTCAATGTAAATTATGGAATGTTGTAATTTGGTGACCACACAAATGATTTCGCGTGACAATTGTATTATTTAAAAAATATGACGCTGACACAATTGAATACACGCATATAAAAAATGCAAGTCTGCTTCTTTGTGATTGTGATTAATTCTATAGAAAGGGGCCCTTTTATGCACAAACGGATCATGGTTACTACTATTTAAAGGGAATTGTTGTCAACGGTTTTGCCATAGAAACTCAAAAAAAAAAAAATGTAGAGGGGAGAGTTTGCATAAGGAAATAGTTATCAGCTGAGCACTTTTGAAATACCAAGCGTATTTGAGCTCATCTGACGGTGTATTTCCCTAGCATATTGAATCTCAAAAAGGCTCCAGGAATCGCACAGGTAAGTTGTATTATAATGAATGCATAAGATTCATTAAATAAAAATAGCCATAGAATTAACACATGTGTAGAGAGATAAAAAGTGAACTTTTTACTATTGCTACCGTATGCAAAATATGATGGAGGGCTGTAGATTAATCCATATCATAGTCAAGTTTATTAATCCCAAATACTCTAACTCGATGCATCATTGGTAGTTTGGCGACCAAGACGACTAATAATGCTGTAAAGTTGATTCCAAAGAGGAAAAAGTCATAATGTGTATAATGCGTGCTTAGAAGAAATCTATCGATTGCATGAGTTATCATCCCTCTTTTTTAAAGATTATAACTTACAAGACGATTGGAACTGCCGTCAAGAATTTACGAGTTGCCGTGAATTGAACTCCACCATCAATTTGCTCCCACAGTGTTAAGCCATCATATGCTCCTTGATTATTTTCGAATGGGATACCTTGAACCCAATGAAACATGATATAGTGTCCCTAAGCAAATGGTTATTTTACTGTCTCTTCACTACAACAAAACAATACACATACGCAGTTGAAGGCAAGATTTGTTAATGTCCAGCTTGCTTCCGGTGTTATAAAAGGTATAAGTGTGAACAAAGCTTTCAAGACGACAATGACAAAGATGGTAGTGAACCAAGCACCTATGATTTACGTAATCTATCAACTGAACTCATATATTTTATATGTATTCTAACCTTTATAATTGACCCAAGATGAGTTAAAATTTGGCATTGAACTTTGATCAAGAACTGCGGTATATGATTTCTTTTCGTTTAATGAAGACATGTTGCTGCTATTTGTTAAAGGAAAGAATATAAAAATAAAAAAGAAAAGAAAAGAAAAAAGAGCTGGTTTGTTTAAAATGGAAAGTGGGGTGGTGATTGCTGTCTTATTGGTCTCTCTTTGTCTCTTGTTCAAATGGCGCAGTTTCAAAAGAATCGCTCTGTTCCACCGGAGAGAGAGACGAGGTGTTTATATCTTTTTCTCTCTCTGTTTGCCGATGACAAGCGTATCATGTATATATTAATAACTATAAGGATGATATATTTTAGTGATGGTCAAGTAGGAAATATGCATCCCACGACACAACCTTAAACATACCCATATATCCATATATACGCACAAGTGTATTTTTATATACAAAGAAAGAAAAAGAATGAAGGATCAAAAAAAAGGAGAGGGAAAAGGTACACGCTCCATGAGTTTCTACGCGCAATGCATAAACGTAGTTCTTTTTGATACATGACAGGATTATTAAGGTTTATAGGCAAAGTCGGCTAAATTGACCGAATGATTCCATTTCATCTATCAATTAATCAAGACGGAACGGCCATCATTGCAGAAAGATGTCTGTGATTCATTGTTCGGCATCATATCTTGGCGGCACTCCATGTCATTTTTGTTACACACATCGCTCTACGTGGGCGCGCGTGTGCACGCGTAAAGTGTTCTTGATCATAAAAGAGCCAATTAACACTTTAAAAAAAAAACTCCTCTACTTGTAGCTCCTCTTTTTTTCGTGTAAATATTGAAATTTGATTGGATAAAACAAAGCGGTGACGTTTTCACTTTATTTTTTCGTCTTTTATATTTTTTCTTGCTCTCTCTTTTTTAAGTCAATACCAAAAAAAAAAAATGAAATACATTGTGAAAGGTGGCATTTGGAAAAATACAGAAGACGAAATCCTAAAGGCAGCTGTCAGTAAATACGGCAAGAATCAATGGGCTCGTATTTCTTCATTACTTGTGAGGAAGACACCAAAACAATGTAAAGCTCGTTGGTTTGAATGGTTAGATCCAAGCATTAAAAAGGTAAACATTTTAAATAATAAAACCAAGACTAACTCATAATAGACTGAATGGTCAAAAGAAGAAGACGAGAAATTATTACATCTGGCAAAACTTATGCCTACACAATGGCGTACTATTGCTCCTATCGTCGGTCGAACACCAGCTCAGTGTTTAGAACGATACCAAAAGCTTTTGGATGAAGCAGAAACTCGTGATACAGATAGATCAAAAGAGCTGGGCTTACAGGGTGCCTTTGGTCACGAAACAGGACCTAGTGCAGATGATGTTCGAAAATTGAGACCAGGAGAAGTAGACCCTGAACCAGAAACAAAACCTGCTCGACCTGATCCAGTGGATATGGATGAAGATGAAAAAGAAATGTTATCCGAAGCTCGTGCAAGATTAGCTAACACACAGGGTAAAAAGGCAAAGAGAAAGGCAAGAGAGAGACAGCTGGAAGAAGCAAGAAGATTGACTGCCTTACAAAAAAGAAGAGAACTCAAAGCAGCTGGTATCTAGTAAGTGCTTCTTATTCATTTAAAAAGTGAATACTAACTCTATTTATTAGCATGCGTTTAAAGACAAAGCCAAATGTGATGGATTATAATACAGATGTTCCCTTTGAAAAGAAACCTGCATTAGGTTTTTACGACACAACAGAAGAAGGCAGTCGTACGGTCGATCCTGGTAAATTGACAAACGTTCACCTATCCAAATTGAACAGACGACGTGCTGATATCGAAGAGGAAAAGAATCGTGAAAAGAAGAGAAAGGCCAGAGAAAATAACAATAAAGGTGGCCCACAAGGCAATCAAGGCCAGTTTGTGCCTGAAAAGAATGCCAAGATTCAAAAGATGCAGGAAGAAGAACAGATTGCAAAACGTCGTAAGCTTGTCTTGCCTGCTCCCCAGGTTGGCGAACAAGAACTTGAAGAGATTGTCAAGTCTGGATTTGCTGGCGAGAATGCTAAAACGTTGGTAGCAGATGATGTAGGTGCCACACCTTTCACCGATCGTGGACCTACGCCCTTATACTCTGAATTACGTACGCCCAGACCAAAGACTCAGGTTGATGGTTATCCTGGAGCCACACCACTTCAGAGCATGGCTACACCCAGAAATGCAAAGCCTCCACAGAGTGTCAAGGTCAGTCTTTTGCAAGGTTTAGCCAGTTTGCCTAAACCTCGTAACGAATGGGAGATTCGATTACCAGAAATTGAACAAGAAGACGAAAAGCAGCCGGCTGAGAAAGCAGTTGAGGACATGAGTGATCTTGAACGACAGATCAAAGAACAAGCAGAACGAGATGAACAAGAGCGTGCTGCACGTCGATCATTAGCTGTTCAACTCGAATTACCACGCCCCACGACAATGCATCAATTCAAGGCAGACTCTAATGCAAGTGAAGCCGAAAAGATGATTTATGAAGAATTGAACAGACTTTTGAAACACGATGCTGTTAAATACCCAGTTGCAGGAGGAAAGGTTGCACCAGGCGCTGTTCAATTACCTGAAAGTATCGCTCAATTAGAAGACGAATTTGATTCAAAAGCATTGGCTGATGCTCGTAAAGAATTAGATCAGGAAATTGTCAAGACATTAGGGCTTTCCGAGGATGAAGATGTCAAAAAGGCAGTGTGGGAACATGTATCATCTAAACCTGAATTTGAAGAACTATGGAAAAAGGAGCATGAGGAGTTGATCTTTTCAGTCAAATTTAATCGATTCTTGACATTAAATGAAATGGACGATGACAAAGATATTACTCAAGGACTTGAAAAGACGATTGAGGTATGTTATGGATATTTTGTAAGATATATATGTATATATAAATAACACTGCTTAGGCCAATCGTCAAACAATGATCCGAGATGCTACACGTGCAGGAAAACTAGAGAATAAGTTGGAAGTCAGGCTAGGAGGATATATGAATAGATCTAAAATGTTGTCAAAGCAAATAGTAGAAGCATTTGAAGAATATGAAGCTGCACAGTTGGAATACAATAGTTTCCTGAATTTACAGAATGCGGAAAGAGCAGCCATTCCACGTCGTATTGAAGCATTGGAATATGAGGTCAATAAGTTGGTCAACAGAGAAAAAGAATTACAAGAGAGATACAAGAACTTGAGTGACGAAAAGATGGAATTACTTGTATAAAAAGAACATAAATAAACTCTTTTTCCTTTTTCCTTTTTTTTTTTTTTTTTTTTTTTTTTTTTTTTTTTTTCTTATTTATACTCAAAATGTCTATTACGCTTTATCAAAATGAAAGACAGTGCTGCGAATGCGGTTCATACTCACACAAGACAAGGTGAATATTAAAAGGGTGTATGACTGTATATGGGTATATATTGATCTGTTTGTCATAGGGACTGTCCCAAGTTGATACCTTAAACACGCAAAAAAGAAGCATCTCTCTATTTTATAAACTATAACAGCAATAAAGGAACTTGTGAGATGATGACATTTTTTTTTATAAAGTTTGAATCCTGTCATTTTCATTTGGACAATAAATAGGTGCAGTTGCATCATATTTTAACATTATGTTCTTTTCATTGGGAGGCAAAAACATCATTCTCCTAAGTAAAAAAATGAGTTTATACGCTTATGTCTAACAAAGGACTTACCAAAGCATTTTAGCAAACCATGAATGAGCCAGTGTTGAAGGATGAAAGCAATCGATATTACTAAAATAGAATAAGAAATATATTCTTAATATATATATATATATTTACCTGATAGCTTGTATTGGGAAACTCATGATATCAACAAGTAATGGCTGATAGACTACAGCAAAGGTATCACTCGGAGGTTGTTTATAGTAATTCACCGCCTGCAGAAGTGCCGCATTGTACTCTGGAAACAATGTGTTCATGATCGTTCGATTAGCTTCAGAATGCGAGCATTCACACTCATGGTCATGTCCTATAAAGTTACTTCCTTTGATGGGCCTACAATAATCTGTATAATTGGAAGTAGCAACGACAATATCTTGTACTTTCATAATACCAACTAAATAAACATGTCAATTCGCTCATATATTTTTACGATTTAGCGTTCATATCCTACTTATCTGTACCAGTACGTGCGACATGGATTTACGAATACGTTCGATAGCGGTTTGAACATTGGCTGCAAATGGCACAGGTAAAGAAGTAGGTTCTGTACAGCTATGACATATATCATTTGAGCCAATAAAGATAGTAATCAGCTTCCAATCTGTCGGTTTGGTTATATTGTCGTCGTATGCTTTTTGTAGTACATCCATCGTGTAATCTAACTCATGATCAAGATTTAGGCTGCGAGCGCCTGATTGAGCAGCGTTAAGGATGTCGATATCCTCTCTATACTGTCCCTTGGGACATATTTGGTTTCCTATCATGTGTAAGTCATATTGTTTTCTGTACAAGTAGGATGGAGGTTACCAAAGCAAATACTGATAAGATGGTCTCCTACAGACGCACCATAAAGACTGTGAGAATAATAATGTAGTATGTTAGGCACCGTGATAGTATTCGGGTCCTGCTTTTCGTTAATAGATATGTACACATTATCTTTCGACACTTACACCTCCCAATGCAAAACTAACACCTCTATTTTCATATAGATTCTGTATATTAAGAAACTGTCCTTGAACACCTTTTGCAGCGAATCCAGCCATGACGCTAGTAGGAGATGTATTAAGTAAAATATGCGTCAATTTAAACAATTTACCTATCTCCCAGTCCTGCTACAATCTTGATATCATCTGGGCGCAAATCATGCACACTCTGAGCTGAGGTAGACCTAGGCTTTAGTAAGGGACACCCAATATCTAAGGGAACTGAGATGTTAACGACAGGATCTACTGGTAAGGTTGTCACTAGAGGCAAAAGAAAGATTGAATATAGATAAGCCAGTATGGACATGAATGATGCAACAAGTAAAAACGTGGGCAATATGTCAACGGCAGTTATAAAGCAGTGTATAATGATTGATGGTGTCAGTGGTTCTTTGAGCGAGGAAGCACTATCTCCTTCTTCTATTTGGTCTAAAGCTGTTGGGTCAGAGAACGATGAAAGGAAATACTTTCCTCGAACATAAAACATGGACAAAAAAAAAAGCAAAACAAGTGTAGGCGTGTTTTATTTTTCACTTTTTATACACACTTTTTGTTTACTTTGTGATAATGAGACATGTATAACAAAAAGGAGAGAGAGAGAGAAATGAGAGACATAAAGGAGAGAGGTGATTGATCTAAACTGGAAGCAAACGGTATATTTGAACGCCAATTTCTACTGCTATTGGTGGAACCAAGATATCGTCTACGTCCTGGTTCCTATCGTATTCTAACAAGATCACTTGAAACCCATTCGACTCGCATAGATTCCAAAACATTTGTTCTTCTTCTTGACTGAATCCGCGGCGTTTATAGCCAATATAGATACGCGTTGTATCTTTTGATAAATCCACCAACGTTTTCACTAAATCTTCGAAAAAATGTGCCTCATAAAGTACGTCAGAAGCAATGATCAAGTCTGCCTTTGAGCATTGCTCTGCCTGCTCCTTATTTCCCCACGCCAGCTCTCTTGTCTTTAGATCACATCGTTTTGCCAAGTGCTGATTGACTTTAACGTTTTTATCAATGAGCTCTACTGCTTCTTCCAGTTCAGTCATTGTCACTTTTCCTTTTTCAACAGAACAAGATCCCATAATACTTGCAGTATACAACCCAAGCAACCCAGTACTATGATGTATAGATATCAGAAAGAAAAAAGAAATGTGGTTCCTCAGCTTACCCTGCACTCAAGTCTAATGTATGTTTACTGCTTAGATATTCTGGATGATATTCGTACATCCTTTTCATCACCTCCAATGTGACCAGTGCTGAATCCCATATCTTACCAGGAATTCCTGTATCCCACATTTCATGAATCGCTACCTGTCCATTAGAAAACACACGATATCCGTCATGGACCATCTCCTGGGGATAATTATTCCATAATTCGAGTGGTAGTGATGTATCGGCATTCTCTGGCTGCCAGTCAGGATCAATCATAATTGGCCCGACGGTCAGAGACTGAATGGTCGTAGCAAACTTACTGTTTGATTGAATCCTCAAAAATCGCTTCCCACTTTTGACGTGTTCATGCTTAGGCTGGATACGATAAAGAAAGGCTCCTCTACCAGATCTATAAAAGCCAGGAATGGGTGCTGGATCTTTTGCAAGCTGGCCGTTTTGGAAACTGGGTGCAGGGGCAAGCTCGATGTCCCAGTCGTGGTCATTGTTTTCTTCTAGTGGTGTTATGCCTGTCTCTGAGGGTGTTTGTAAGCTGCAGGCCACGGTTACTTGACCGTCAGGCTCAATGTCAGATCGTCGAAAGAGACCGAGTTCGTTTACAAGTAGAATGTCAACTCGGTACCATCGGTTAGGTTTGACATGAAAGGCAAGAGGACATCGCAAGTTGATTCGGTATAGTGAAAAGTGTTGTTCCAATTTGGCGCGGAACTCTTGATCGGTCAAGCTCATGTCAATAAAAAGAGAAAAAAAGGTTTTTTTTTTTT